TTTGGTATGATTTACTGATTTTTATTTTAATCGAAATCTTTCGTTGTAAGAAAATTTATGATGGGGCAATAGCAATGATATGATTGGCTTAGGTTGGCAGACAATAATTTCATAGCATTTCCCTTAAATAACTATTTTCTAACATGAGTTTGAACCAAAAAAATATAAAAAATTATAAACTCTATTTTTAGACATTTTTGATCTAGTTGGAACATAAGATCAATTAGGATAAAAAATTATGAGCATTGTGTAGTGTATCTTCATAGCATTGTTGCATTGTATCACAAAATTAGTAGGATAAAACTTAAGCATTTGAAGCATAAAGTTTTTTTTTTCCCTTAATAGATCATCTTGGTGGTGGTGGTGTTTCATTAAAACTTTTGTCAAAAAAATCTTGTGAAAAAAATAATAACATAATAAAAAAGATAATAATCGTTCGTTTTATTCTTTCATCATAATGAAGAATTATATCATCCAGTGGTCCTTATTATACCGTATACATTATTCGATAAAACCTTATTAGAAAATTTTGAACAGGACAACATTTTGATGAAGGAAAAAATCACATTACTCTTTTAAATACGACATTCATATTGTCTCATTAAAAATATAAAGCCAACCAATGAAACATAACGTCAACCATAATGAACAAAGCATTTGTACGAGTGTCACATAAATTTATTGATTGTTTTTTAATTTTTTTTATACTTATTGTAGTCATTGCATCATCATCATGCTATTTTTAGTATAATAACTACAATTTCCAACTCATTCTCATCATACCAAATTTATCTATTGGATATTGAATTACATGTGGCTTGTCAAGAACTTGATTAGAAAAACATTTGGAACAAAACCCTCAATTAGTAGTATAACATATGGATTTTCCATTTCAACAATAATATTTGTTTCAATACCTATTATAACATAACTTGGATCAAGATGTGCTCGAACCGGACTATTTTTATGATGCCACATCATAACCACATCAACCGCGCAATTTTTACTTTTTACCATTCGAATATACAAAGCGTTCGAGCTTATCGGCGTGGATAGATTTTTTTTCTTTCAAAAATACGCATTCTACTATACAAAGCGTTCGATTGTATCATTATAGATGGAATTTTCCCAAAAGGCAAAAAAAACGATATGTACATTACTCATCGGTAGGATGAATTATCCATTTTACCAACTACACAAATTATCCCAATTTTGCATGAGGACCAAATTGCTCTCATGAAACTAGCTAGGTGACATGTAAAAGATGGGGCAAATCTGGGATGAGTAGCTAAACTGAAAACATCAATTTAGTTTGTATAGGTACTTGCAAAAATGTGAATAGTTTGAGGCATTTTTTCCCCTT